CAACAAGTAAATACTTTAACCAGACAAGCTCACAAGAAGCGCAGCATAGACCGATACTCTGCCTTAGCTGAGCTGCGAGAGATGGTGGTTTACTTTTGTATTTCCACGAAATGAGTGATGCTTGAGAAATACACAGTAGCAATTGTGAGATCTTCTCATATCGGGCATGAGCCCAATCGGAATCACAATAAGATGTTAATTGACAAGCAGATGATGCAGGAAATATTAATCCTTGACCAGGTGATTTCTTTACATAATGCATCACCTTGTAAGTTGCTTGAAGATGTGGAAACCAAGGGGCACTCATGTATTGACTGAGCAGGTTGACAGAGAATGAAAGGTCAGGTCATGTGATTGTTAAGTAGAGGAGTCTTCCAACAAGCCTTCTGAATTATGATGGATCATGTAGCAATTTTCCTCATCCTGTAAATTTGAGACTCAGGTCTATGGGAACTGAACTAGGCTGCAGCAGTAAAAACAGCATCGGCAAGAATGTCCAAACAATATTTCCTTTGGCATAATTGAATGCCATTTGAGTTTCGGGCTACCTCCAAACAAGAAAATATGAGTGTGGTGGAGATCTTTGATCCTAAATTTTGATGTAGAAAAGCTTTGAGAGCTGAAATGCCATGGTGGATCATTGGAAGCTACAACGATATCGTCAGCATATACAAGTAGTGCGAAAAAAGAGAACTTCCTTAGTAAAGAGACTGTAATCGGCTTTGATTGAGTAAATCCAAATGTTACAAGGAGGATGAGAATTGGCATACCATTGAGTGATGCCTGTTTGAGACATACAAGCTTTTGTTAATTTGCAAACCTTGTTCTGTCCTTGAACTGAATAAATAGGAGGTATTTATATACACTCTTCGTCCAAATGCATGTAAAAATGCATTATAAACATCGAATTGATTGAATTTCCACCCTTTGATGGCCGCCACGACAAACAGGTTTTACTGTTATAAGTTTGGCTACGAGTGCGAATGTCCATGGTAATCAAGGCCTTCTTCTTGGGTATATCCCTGGCAACTAAACGTGCCTTGTGCTGCTCAATGGTTCCATCTAAATTATATTTAATTTTGTAAACCCATTTTGAACCAATGGTCTTCTTCCTAATAGGCAGATTAGTAACATCCCAAGTCTTGTTCAATTCTAGAGCAGCAATCTCAGTGTCCATTGCATTACGCCAGTCTAAGCTTTTACAAGCTTGTGCATAAATGGAGGGTTCAGTGTGATTAAGAATTGAAATGGCAAAGCAGCATGGTTAGGAGACAATTTAGCATGAGACAAGACAAATGTAAGGGATAAAAAGATAGCAAGTGAATTACCTTTTATCTTGGAGCTTGAAAGAGAAGTAGTAGGTACAATGACTTGTTGACAAGGAGTAGTCCTGGAGATAAGCGGGGATTTTTTTGGTCTGCTTGATCTGCGGGGAAGAATTGTGTTTGAAATGGAATATCAGGTAGAGTAGGGGAAATGGGAGGATTGTGATAAATTCGAAGGGATGGAAGAAGTGGATTATGTTGCTGTGTGTTCTGTGATAATATCAAAAGGAATGTGAGGATAATTTTACTGCGATAGGGAGTGTTCTGAGGAGCTTATGTGGGATGGTAGTTATGGTCGGAGTTGCTGTGGGGTTGATATGTGATGATAATTGTGGTGGAGGGTGTGCTGGGAGGGATCAGAAGGGATAGTATGGAATCTGCTGTGATGGTGAATGTGATATGAGAATAAGATTGTAATTGTGAGGGCTAAGTGATGTTGGTACCTAGGGATGGAATTGAGGTGTGGGAGAGGATTGGGCAATTTTAGAGGGAAATTGTTTATAGAAAGTGACATCTCTAGAGTAAAAAATGGATTGGCTATTTAGATCAATAATTTGTAACCTTTGATTCCGACTGGATATAAGCATAATGCATTTCCTTGCTCTAGAGTCAAATTTGTGTCTTGTTTTGTTATGGTAGTGTTGATAGGTTGGTTTGGTTTAAAAAAGAAGTTGGTATGGGCTATGATTTTGTAAATTGGGGATGGTGTTCTGTTAATAAGATAGATAGCGGTTAAAATGCAATCATTCCAAAAAGATAAGGGAAAACCGGATTGAAATTTTAAGGCATGAGCAACATTTAAAAGTTGGTGCTTGCGTTCCACAACCCCATTTGTTTGGGGGGGGGGGGGGGGGGGGGGGGGGGGGGGGGGGGTTTCCACACAAGTTTTGTGGATAATTCCTTTTTGCATGAAGAAATCAGTCATTGAAAATTCATTTCCATTATCAGATCGAAGAGCTTTAAGTTTTGTTTGGAATTGTGTTTCAATTAGTGAGCAAAAAGATTGCAGTAAGGGTCGAGTTTGGGATTTATTTTTCATTAAATAGACCCAAGTGGATCTAGTGAAGTCATCAACGATTGTTAAGAAATGTTTTGATCCATCATATGCCATTTGGGAACATGGTCCCCAAATGTCACAATGGATGAGTTCAAAAGGTTTAGAAGTGCGATTGTCACTTATAGGAAAAGGTAACCTGTGATGTTTTGATAAATGACATGTAGAGCATGGAACAACATAATCCATAGAAGTTAAGTGAGGTAAATCCTTTTGTAACAAAGATAAGTGTGAGTTAGACAAGTGACCCATTCTACAATGCCATAAGCTGTGGGAACTTTGCTGGGAAGTAATAGAGGAAGAAACAAATAATTTATTGAAGGGTAAAGAGGATAAAATTCAAGATAGGGCTGTGGGAGGCACTCCTGTCAGCCGAAGATGGTAAAAACCATTAACAGCCTCACCCTTCCCAATCGTGCTATAAGAGAAAAGGTCCTGCACATAGCATTCATTAGCAAAGAAAACAAAGCAACAATTAATGTCCTGGATTAATTTTTTGGCTGAGAGGAGATTAAAATTAAAAGATGCATAAAACATCTTTGAGAGTAATGACAGAATTGATTTTAACAATACCCTTATGGGTAATATTGGCATGATTACCATTTGGAAATCTGACTTTAAAATCAACTATGGATGGTGAGGAAGTATCACCCGTGTCTATGATCCAAGGAATATGATATGAAGATGTTGTATTAGAGACTAGAAAGCAGGAAGCTATACCAGAGAAGGTGGAAGGTGAAGGGCAGACTGAGGATGGATCAAATGACTGAACTTGATTTGCCGTTGGTTGTGTAGCTTGAGACTGGAGTAAAGCAATGATATGTTGATATTGCTCTTGAGTTAGAATTGCTTGAGATTTCTCACTGATATGTTCTTGGTTAGAGAGACTAATTTGGTTAACATAAGGGTCAGGTCCTTTGGATCGATTGGCAAGCTTATGGCCAGGGGGATAGCCATGTAATTTGTGACATCTCTCTACAGTGTGTCCAACGAGATTACAGTGTGTACATTCGGGTTTCTCAAGATTTGGACTAGCCTTAAAACATTTTTCCAAAGAATGGCCTGAGACTTTGCAGAAAGTCCAAAAAAATTTGTCTCGTCGTTGGGAACTAAAAGATTTGGGGTTGTCTCGGGTGGGTGGATAATGAGTTCTAATAGCTAAGGTCATTGTGTCATAAAGATTGGGAAGGTTCGAAATCTGCTTATGCTTCTCTTCTTGTTGAACAAGAGCAAAAACTTCACTCAAAGATGGAATGGGTCTGAGGAGGATAATCTAAGCTTTGATGTTGCTAAAGGAATCGTTGAGCCCCATGAGGAATTTCATGATCCAGTCACATTGTTGGTTCTCAAGCACAGGTTTCATGGCACCACATGTACACGATGGAATAAATTCAAAATTGAGAAGTTCATCAAATAAACTTTTCAACTTAGAGAAGTAAAAGCTGACAGAATCATCACCTTGTTTAATATTGTGAATGGATTGCTTCAATTCAAAGATTCTTGGCCTATTGTTTTGGGCAAAACGTTGTTTGAGTTCAAGCCATAGTTCATTGGCAGTCTCAACATAAACAACGCTGTTTTTTAATCTCAAGAGACATTGCATTTTGAAGCCAAGTTACAACCATGTCATTGCATTCAAGCCATGGTTCTAACAAGGCATCGGTGGAGGAGGGTTCAAGAAGAGTACCATCAATGAAACCCAGTTTCTTTTTTATTTGGAGTGAGCGACACATGGTACATGCCCAAGAGTGGTAGTTTTTAGGGGTGAGAAGATGGTTGGTGAGTAGCATTCATGGACCATCATTCGGGTTGAGAAAAAAAGGACTAGTAGGGTCTTTTGGGTTGCGGTTGATAGGGGCTTTTTTATCTTCGGAAGCCATTGTTATAGCTCTGATACCGTAATGGTTTTGGTAACCTTGGTATTTGCAGGGAGGCAGAGAGAAACAAATGAAGTTGTAGAGAAACAATTGGTTGTTGAAAATATTGTTTGCACTATTCGATTACCCCCTTTACAACGTGTTGAGCTATCTATTTATAGTAATTACAAAGAATCAAATAAAGGAATCAGAATTCTAACTAATTTGTACAGACTGTATGACACAGAATTACAACTTATGGTATTCTAGAATCCTCCTTATTGTGTTGAGATATTACAGCCGAGCTGGAGCATTTGTCTGAGGTGGCTTGTTGTGATGTCATTTGCTATGATAAATCTAACAGTAAGTTCCATTAACTTTAAGATCAGTACTGAGGATTGGCAATAGCAATATGTCAATGTACTCTATTTCCATGCCCTTCACTGACTCCTTCACTAACTGCATATCTTTAATCTAAGAATCCATTAAAAGTCAGAAGAAAATCAACGCAACACCACCCAAAAAGCTTATATAGGAAATGGGAAAAAGGAGAGTGGAGACCAAAGCAGGAATAATTCCTCTGCATCTTGAATTCAAACTTTGAGATTTTCAATAATGAATTCATCCTACCTTTTTCTCGACTGTTTTCTTTAAAAAATTTCATGGCTTCAATACAAGACTGCTCCAAGGCTACTATATCAGGCTCTTAGTCATAGTAAATTAAAATAGTCCTTCCTGACATTAGCCAATCTGCACATCTGAATAGTGTTTCTAATGGTATAAAAACTGTATTCCCCCAGCAAAATAATATGAGTTTAAGCTATAGAACTTGAGAATGAATTGAATAGAACTTCAAGTTACAATAATAAAATTGCCAATACTTTTAACGAGCTGTTAGATGAAGAGAGTTCTCTAGCTGTGGGCAAAAATTGACATTGATAAACTAATGAGAAAAGTCGTCTCATATGTTTTTATAAGTAAACAAATATTCAAGTTGAATCTCATGCAAAAGAGGACAATTACCAGCAAAGACAAAACAAATAAGTCAACAAGTCTCTAAATCTTAAAACAAATATCAGATAAACTAAATGTATAAAGTTCATACAAAAATATACTGAGTTTCCTGTATTGAGATTCACCGATAGACTATTTTTTCAATCAAAGCACATAAATAACTTTTCATTCATTCTGCACATAAAATCAAAATATTTTTTTGAAATCAATTAGCCAAATTCTGATATTTTGTAATCTTTTTTATACATAATTTCCTTATATACCTCAATACAATAACCCTCTTTCAGTTTCCCCTCTAGAATGCGCCATTCTCCACCTCCAGCTCCGAACAACTAACGGTTACCTCTTCGCCGAAGGTGTGTTTTAATCATCTCAATTTACTTATATCTACTTCAATGTCAGATGTATAGCTTTGATTTATTGTGTATAATGCTTGGGTGCTTGATTTAATTAAAATTCTTATCTGTATGTTGATGTATTGTATTTTGTTGTGTTGATTAGTTATATGGGTTCATGATTTCTTGGGTTTGTTAATTTGCTTGTAAATGGCTATCATGTGTTTGACAAAATTCCCCAATGAGAAACGCACCCATACACTGTGTAACATTCCCACAATTTTTAACCCATACACTCAATGAGTAACTTTTCTGCCGAACAATCCTGAAAACAAAAGGCAGGATCCTCGCAGCCTAATGAAACAACTTCCTTTAAGCACAAGCGAGGAGTCTTTCAAAAGATTGTGAGTGAATGCCTTAGGGTTTTCTTTTAAATTTCTTATATTAGTGGAAACCTCTTTTTTGGGAGTTCTATTGCCATTTTTGTATTTTTATTCACGTACTTTGGTACTACAGTGCAGCACATGATGTACGATTTTGGCAATGATCCTAATGTAAGGAATGGTAACTGTCTTTTAGCCTTTTTTTCCCCCTTACCAAATTCAAAAAATACCCCAAAACCAACTGACTAGAGTCAACAAAATGAACAAGAAGTAACCTGAATGAACAAGTAACTATAGCAATGAAAGCAACTTATAATTTTATGGAATGAAGAAGAAAAGTAATTCTAAGAGAGAGAGAGAGAGAGAGGGAGAGAGAGAGAAATGTCCCCGGTTTACTAAAACCAGTCTAATGCGTTTGGAAACAACAGGATTGGGACACTGAATTGTGTTGTTGATCTCAAATATAATGATTTTGTTGTTATGCATGGAACTGTATATGCTAATTGATGAATTTGTTATCTCCTCATTTTATTTTTTATTCATGTGGACATCTCCAAACCATAACTTTAAATGTAAGCTCTATTATCAACCTTTATCAGACCTGAATTAGCCCTAATTTTCATACGAAATTTCTCTGATGTTTAGATTCAGCTAATTTGTTGTTTCCAAACACATTAGACTGGCTTTAGTAAACCGGGGACATTTCTCTCTCTCTCCCTCTCTCTCTCTCTCTCTCTCTTTTAGAATTACTTTTCTTCTCCATTCCATAAAATTATAAGTTGCTTTCATTGCTATAGTTACTTGTTGTTCATTTTGTTGACTCTAGTTAGTTGGTTTTGGGGTATTTTGTGAATTTGGTAAGATAAACCCGGAAAATAGTTGGCAAGAATCTTTACATACGTTTTCAAGTTTGCTTCAAAATAATGTTAAAATTGTTTACAGTGTTTATTACCTGTTTTAAGTGGCCTGTAGCTGAAACTTTTTTGCAGTCTGCATAATCCAGAAAGAAATAATCTTTTTCATGCCTCCTGAACACGTCCTGCAAATTCATACTTCCATGCATACACACACATGTATTATCTGATGGTTTATATTCTCTCTCTGAACAGATAGCAGCTTTTTAACGAATTGATGTATATATCACTTGAATGATTATTTCATGCCATCATAATAATCCATGCTTCATTAACAGCTAGAGACCTTAGTCTCCATGTGGTCACATTTTACTTTTACATGATTCACATGGAACTGTTGTTATTTTGTTATTTGAATGTATAATGGTATGCATTTTCCTCTTTTAAATTTTATGTCTAGTTTGATATATGTATGAATTTCTTGTTTTGTTTCACTCAGCTGCTTCCAGAAACTTTGGCACTTGTGGAGGACATGGTTTTGGAATATGTCACAGATTTGGTATGCATTCTTTCTAATTAGTACCTATCTTTTTAATTTCTCCAATAAGATGGCATGGCAGGTGTGATAGCTATGTATGCCACTTTTTCGAGGGGCAGATATAGTAGAGGATATTGGCTCAAAAAGGGAAAAGTTACCAGTTGAGGATATTCTATATTTAATTAGAAATGTATCTTTCATGAGAGCTTGTTTAGTTCACCTTATTGTTAATGGAAAGTTGATTTTCCCACTTGGGGTTTTATATTTATTTTCTGCTTATCCAACAAAATAATCTTTAATGCACCTTTATAAATAAACTTTGTTTGAATAAAAAAATCTCCATTGTTCTTCCACTGAATGTCCGTTTATTCTATACCGTAAAAGTATCTTAGCACAATGATTAAATTATTATCTGGAAAGATTTTAGTATGAGATGTTTCCTTGGCTTTTGTTGGGTATGGGAGGTGGTACAATGAAATTGTCTTTTTCTTGCTTTTTAATTTGAGGAAGTTTGGTGCTTTAAAGCTATACTTTTTTTGGTTGTATTGAAATATTGGTTGAAATTTTATTGATCGAGCTGGCAGGATTTGCCAAAACTTAATCACTAAAACAAGCAAGGAAAGCTTTTGTCATAAGAGGCCACCAAAAGAGTTGCATAGCATTATCTTCTGAATGAGATCCATGCAAGAGTTTGTTTCATTTCCAGATGGTTTTCTTTCCATCATGAGCAAAAGGGATAAAAGACGACAATGGTCGTGCTAATATAGTTCACAAGTTCATCCACGATCCATAGGAGTAAGAACAATCTAAACTCTCCTTGAACTAAAATCTTACGGCTTTGCATATTGCAATTTTAAAGTAATTCCATTATTGGCCTTTGTTTTCATAACAGAGCTCACCATACTGCAGAAAAATGTATTTCCATTTTATTAAGTTAGACTCTTTAGATACTCAGCAGATATCTACTTTCTTTTAATTAGAAGATTATGATGTGGAAGGCAATGATACATTCTGCCTGGGGGAGCCTTAATTAGAAGACTATGCTTGATCTTGAATGATAATTTCTAGAGTTATTTGTGGTAAGAGAAGTCGGCATAATTGTTGCATTGTAGTTTAACCTTAATTGTTGGATTCTACAGTTGAAATTTATTGAAGGTTTCTGCTACTGCTTTATGAATTTTTCTGAATGGTGTTGGTGGTTAAATATTGAAATTTTGGCTGCTCAGAGTTATGGGAATATTTGTGAAATTGTGTTGAAATGAGTGTCTAATATTTCATGTTACTGATGTGGAAACTAGAAGGAAGGTGTGATTTGAGAGGTATACTAATAGAAACCCTCCTAGTACTCAACCAAACCAATGAAATAGTAGCAACCAACAACCATGAAACAAGAAAATGATAGATGCCTATAACTCTATATTGATATTCAGCAAAACAGATAACAACAGCAACACAAGATAACCCAAAAGGAAACAACCCACCAATGAAATTTTAACTGTCTTCATATCTAACAATGGCCTAGATACTTTAGACATTGAGCAGCTATTGAAGTTTTTCTCAAAATCTACTCGGTTGTATTTGCTAGACAGGTGCTTTTCTTAAATAAGGATTCTTGTTTCTTTTCCAGATGATTGAAGCGCAACAATGCATGCATTGAACACTTAAGATTGATGGCAGTCCTTCTCTAATATTCATTCTAAGAGGCCAACTTCCTTCATTTCTAAAAACCCTCTTGCTAAAAAATTGTATAAAATTGGGATAATAGAGAGGATACTTGTAATAGGTGAGGCTTGCTCATTCTTTTCAAGAACAAGATATTCCCATGAATCTAACATCACTTTCTGTTGATGATCCCAACATCATATACAACTCAATGGGTGTGTGGGGCTTCCACAAACTCACCACTTTTGCAAAACTCATAATCAGTGTGTTTTCAACAGGAGGAGAGGAGAATGAAGTTGCCAGCCTCTTTAATTTAACTGATAATTTTTAGATTTTTGAACTTGAGATATCTATGTCCTAAGGGTTAAATTTTACCTTTCTTGAAGAGTTTATTTTCACTCATCTTCCTTGAAGTGTAATGTATGAAGTTGTAATTTAAAGTAACGTAAGTTGAAGTGAGATGTCTTAGCTTCCTGTATTTGACCGTCAGAAATACTTTGCGGCTGGGAGTTTGACTGCTTTTGTATCCTTTAGAAATTAGCTTTTTCACTTTTATATCTTATTTTTTTAAAAGTACTTTTTGTATATATTTTATTATTCAGCGGGAAGCAGGTGGACTATTTGAATCTTGAAGTACATCCTTCTGTCAGGCTCTAAGACTCAAGTATTTCAGTGTAATCATACTTGAAAATGAAGATAAGCAAAAGAAACTTGAAGAATGAGTCAAATTCTGATATTTTCGAATATTAGATGTGTAATTTCCGTAGAAACTGAAGTTTTATTATACCATAGTGGCCAAATTTGGGTTTCCTTTTAGATGATCACTTCATGATAACTTTAATGTGAGGATTCGTTGGAGACACTATAAGCAGTTTAGTATATCTTTTGGGAGTTCATCTTACACAGGCTCTAGATATATCCTTGCAGTCCGTAACTCTTTAGTACTTTGGTAGATATCAGCATTGGATCTTTGATGCAATAAGTTGAGGAGGCACAAAACACATATCCATGGATTGTTAGAAAGGGCAATGGCAGATGAGAAAGTTTAGTGTTTTGTTGTACTCTGGCTTTGGTATATTTGTATATGTGGTTTACATTGTATGCAATCTGTGCCTGTTGCTAGATGAATTATTTTCCGAGCTATTCACGCCTGTCCAAGGTGAGAGTTTCTTCCCTTGATGAACGTGCATCGTTTACTCATCTTGAATGAATTGTATTTTAATGATAGGAAGAACCAAGCAGATATGCAACTAACCCATTAACACACCAAATTAAAAATAATGTGGAAGAGGAATATTGCTTGTTCATCATTTTTAACCTTATGATCAATGTATTTTTGAGGTCAAAAAAAGCTATGGCTAGATGGTTTTTTCAGACTGAACTCCGAGAAGCAATGCGGGATAGGGAACCGAATTTCAAGACAAATGCTTATGACATTCTTCTACAAAATTCATACAAAATCCTCCATAGTGCAAAGTTGGAAGTTCCTTTAGCTGTACTTTGGAGAAACTTCAGGTTCAAGAAGTCTCCCAGCATTATTGTAGAAATGCAAGGGCTTCTTAATGCAGTTACATGAAGCAAGAGGCCTTTTTTTGTTTTATTCTATAAGAGTCCAAGACGAGCCAAAAAATTATCCTAATAATTCAATCCCAAAGCAATCAAACCAGTAAGTTAAAATTCAGTAGTTCCATTAAACTCAAAAACGATTTCCCAAGGTTGCAAACTTACAATGGGCTTGGGGCGATTCAACTTTCTTTTATGTGGGTGTTGTTCGGCTTGGGCCATACTAAGATGGGCTTCAAGGGGGTCATTGGTCTGGGTTGATATGGGTGTTGGGCTCGATGGGTCAATGGTCTGAGATTTTTTTGTTCTTTTTATTAGAGATTTTTTATTGACCGATTTTAGATTTTAAATTCAAGTTTAGTTTTAGCATATGGATATTTGTTGTTATCCGTGTAAGCATACCAAATTTGTTTTAGTAGCTTGTGTTTGATCAACCAATGCTCTTCGACTGATTATACACTTTACAGTGTGGATTAGGGGATGCTTTTTGACGCAGCACATGCCCTTATAAGGTCTTCCGCCATTCAAAGTTGAAGAGAAGGTATGGAAAATATTTAAGTGCTCTGTTGTTTTTTTTTTTTTTTTTTTTTTTCTCTTTTTTTCTCTTTTTTTTTTTTTTTTACGAGTCAATGTATCAATGCAGGTATCGCTCTCTAGCAACTTTCTTGCGGCGGACTTTTAAATACGAAGTTGTGGGTGGTTTTTCGCATCTTATGTTTGTGGGTTATGGATAGTTAGATACATTAACAATAGGCATAGCTAATGTAGGCTTTTTTGCTCCTGGTGTTAGCATCAGCGGCCTTCTGGCCATCTCACCCACACCAACGTTGTTGCCACATGGGCCTTTTTCTGCTGCTGGTGCTAGCATCGGCGGCTAGTTTACCTTCTGGTGGTGTTACTGGAAGCTTTACTCACACTGGATTCTTGTGACACTGCTTATATATTTTTTTTAATTTCTTTAAATATTAGTGTAGGTAATTATGTCTTTTAATCATTTTGAAAAAATCAATATTTTCTGTGTTTTTTCAAACTTGTGTGGCTTTATCAGATTAGCATAATCTATATAATTTATTATTAGTAAGAACTGAAAATTAAACCATTGTTGGTCTATGAACTACATTTAAGTTCAGGCCCCCTCCCATTGCATGTGCATGACGTTTACAGTTTATACTAGAGATTAACAATAGGCACGACTAATGTAAGGTAATCATTTTGAGTATTTTGATTGCAGGACGTTCATTTTGCTTCATAGCTTTCAGCCACAAGACAACTAATCAAAGTTGTCTAATGATCAAATAACTTTACAATTGCAAATATACATAATAGTTATACAGACAATTACTGATCCACAACTCTTTAAGAGAGGTGAGATTTTGATAAACCCTAATGAGAGATATTTCAAGTCTTGAAATCTAAAAATCATTAGCTCAATTAGAGATGAAGGAAATTGGCCTCTTACAATGAATATTAGAGAAGAACAACCATTGGTTTTTTAAGTATTGATTGCGTGAAATTTTGTGCTTCAACACCTCATGTAAGGATGTCAGGCATTACATTTGCTACTTTCAACTTTGTTGAGGATGGAGAGAAAACCATCTGAAAAAGAAATAAGATTTGGAAGCTCTGCCATTTACATCTCTTTAAGGGAGGTGAAGCTATTGAAATCCTGTTGTGGCCTTATAAGACAATTCTGTAAGGATGAAGTAGAGCAACAATCCACCCAACTCAACCGACCGGATTATAAGAATACTTTGATAGCTGCTCAGCGGCTGAAGAATTTGGGTGATTGTTAGAATAGAAAACAGTATGAAATTATAATGTAGAAAATGAAAAATTCGCTACAGAAAAAGGGCTAGAAGAAACAAGACTTTCAAAGAAAAATAATACCTCTGAAATCACAACTTCCTTATAGTCTCCGCATCAGTTACCTGAAATATTAGCAAAAAACAACAAACAGTGTCTACAGGCTTGCACATCATAGCCTTGGAAAAGGCTTCAACATCAACACCACTCGAAAAAATTCATAAAGTTGTTCAGAAACCTTTTGCAACTGTAGGAATCCAGCTAAAATCTTCAACCACACAAACTTTTGAGTCCAATTATGCAAAATAACTCCAGAATTTCATCATTTGAGATCAAAGCTTTTGTAGTCTTTGTGGCATTTACCAGCGTTGGTCTAAATCTTCTAGTTAAGGCTTCCCCAGGCAGAAAGTATCATCCCCTTCCACATCCAAATCCTGCTCCATTTCTGATTGGAAGAGAAGCTAACCATCCGGCAAACACAACAACAAATGGAATTTTTTAACAAAATGCAGATATCTGCTCAGCGTCCAAAGAATTAACTTCATAACATTGAAATACATTTTTCTACATTATGGCGAGCTCTGTTATGAAAAGCAAAAGCCAACAACAAAATAACTTTAAAACTGCAATATGCAAATCCATAAGATATTATAATAGCTAATATACTAAATAAATGTTTAGTTTTAAGTAGTGTTTAATAACATTTTGATGTATCAACAATGACAATTCAAATTGCATACATAGTTTAGACTGTTCAGTTGGCTCAGCCCAAGTTATTAAAAATTTAACACTTTATTTATTTTGTAAAAATCTAAATAGCCCATTACATACTAGACTAATTCAATCTCTTTATTCATTTCTAAGATCTAATAGAGTTCATTCTTCCTCCTCTCTATTCTTCACTATAGACTATTGTCTTTCACCTTAAACATATAATCAATAATACTCAAGGAATTTACATAGATTAGACAAAGAAAGCAACCAACTTACAAGTTAAATTCTGTGTTCAGTGTTTGCAAACATTCTTATTCTCTGTTGCAACTTATCAACTCTATTAGTAAATTCTTGCCACAATTTTATATGGATAGTAATATCTTAAATTTTCTCAAATCTTTTTTTGACTGAGCGATAAATGTCAAATAAATTCCTTCTGATTCTACCACATTTCTTCTTGCTTCAGTTTTTCTTAGACACTAAACTAACAAATTAAAATTACCATAAATGTTTACTGAACCCATAAAAATTACTGCAAACATAATTCTTCTAAGAAAAATCTTGATTCGTAAATCAAGATTCAAACC